TTCTAAGGCTCAAAGGAACACATGGAGTCATGTGTACTAAATCCTATGAATTCAAGGAAAATTCAATGGATACTTAATCTGCTTCTAGAAAGAAAAATTCTTTACCCTGCCTCCTTCAAAGAGAAAAAAAATCATCCTTTATTATTCTTAGTGAGAGGACTGTGCTGCTGCTGCTACTCTACATAGTGAAATGACAATTCCTTGAAATCTTGCTCCTCTTGTGTCTTAAATAAATACTAACCTAAAGGGAGTGATAGAGAATTAGGCAATAAGATTAGAAAGAGAGATTGTTCCTGAATCAGTCCATTAGGATTAACTAGGCTTTGTTCCATGGCAACTTAGCTAAGAATAATCACGACTGCAAATAGTGCTGTTCCAGTTTCTTGGGTGGAGTGCAGAGTAAAATTGCTGGTCTCCAACTGCAATTGTTAATGTGTTTGGCGGTTCTTAAATGTCACTGTGGCTGTACTTCAGCAATTCAGTTAGAATTGGTTCTGCCATCACATGTGATGCATAAGGAATTCAAACTCCTGCAGGCAAGCTGAGTTCACAAGGTCCTTGTATTTTCCAGTTATTTCTGGTGGGACATGATTTCTGGCATTAACAGTTGAGGTTGACAGCATTGACTCTGCCAAGAGTTACTGGTTGTACATGAGGTACGAAGGGAGTATGTGAGAGATGTGGGGCAATCAGGCTGGCACATTAGTGGGTCCTGATGATAAACCACTTCTCAAGAATGTGGATCTCAGGTGGAGGAGAAATTCAAAACGCTTCTGTTCATCCATGCTGCAGGACACACATAGCCAAGCCCTGTTGTGGGAGCAGCTGAGCTGAACCCAAGGAAAGCCAGTGTCACCTGTGAGCAGTTTGATTACATTGATTGTGTCTAGGAAGAATCTTGAGAATTTTTTAAGAATTGTAAGTCTTTAATTGCTTGGTTTTATTTTTCTATGGTATAGTCCTCTACTTCACATTGCAACATATTTTTATTTTAAAAGCATCAGCCTGTCTCTTTCATGCTTGGAAACTATGGTTTCCAATAATACACCAATTTAAATTGGCATGAATCATTTCTACATATTTGATTATGGTGTCACAATCATTTAAACAAAGATGATGTGAGTGAATTTAATCACTTCACTGCAGGCAACACCAAACTTACTCAGGGTTCAGGTAGCATTTATTTGTGTACTCAAAACCACTGCAAGATACTCTAGTAGGAAAAATCCCACCATATTTATTGGCTCATGGTTTAAGATGTATTTCCAAACAGACACTCATTTCTCCTAAAACCAGCCAAGGCCCTGGAAGAAGGTGTGTTCAGGGACCTCCCTGCTTCACAAGTGCCTCTCTTTAAGGGTGCTTACTGTGGTAAATCTGTGTCTTTGGGGCACTCTCCAGCCTCTCCTGCCCACAACCATTACCAGGTCTGTTGATCCAAGAGTCTCAGCTCTTCTGGGTGCCTTGCAGCCTCTGTCTATGGCGAGTGTGGCTGATGCAAAGAGCAGATGACATCTCATTTACCTTTAATTGTCTGGCCTGAGCCTGCTGACCAGGTTCCTCCCCCAGCTGGTGGCATGTGCTGGGTACCACCAGAGAATGTCTCAGGGCTCTTGTGACACCTTGGGGATGGAGGAACTGCCTCCCACAGACTCTACTTCCCCTCCCCCAGCTGCAGACAGGACACAGGCATCCAGCCAAGACCTGACCCAAACGTGTAAGAAAGGAAGGGAGATAATTGACAGTCAAGTCATCCAAACACAAACTCACTGAAATAAAACACTGTTTATTCCTTTTAAGGGAAGTGAAGAGCAGAAGATGGGATGAAGAGAGTGAAGCCCATGCATACATTTCCCCATTAGGTTTTAGTTGGGCTGCTCTCATTCTTGAGTTCAAGGTCACCCTTTATTATGGGTGTTTCAGCCAGGTGGTGTTGACTATTCCCTTTACACACACACACACAGATGCACACACCTTCCACCTGGCACCTGGCTTCTTTGGTAGATCAGCACCTTTCAACTTCTGGTCTCCTCTTTTGTCCTAGCTCCAGATCTGGGTTTTCTCCAGCCAGGCACTCACCAGGGCATTCTCCATCTCACTGCTCTTTTGCAATAGGCTTATAGTATTGTCTGAACCCCACCTTCCCTTGCCATCATTGCCTTTCCCAATTTTCCCCCCTCCAATCACCTGCTTCTGATTTAATTCCTTACAACCAAGTGAATAATGGCAAACTCATAAAAATTACAGCATCTTTACAATATAATATTAATCCGTTACATTTATGACACAGTGCTCAAACACTTCATCATACAGTTTCATTGAAGGTAATTCTGGAGTCTGCTTACTTTTACAATAGACACAGAAAATGTACATATGATTTGTGCTTGTGGTTATGTACAGCCCTGTGTGCCTTCGGAAGAAAGCACCTACAAATCTTGTGGAGACATGACAGATAGACTTTCTGGGGTATATAATTTGGAATCTCATATGCAAGATTGCAGAAAGCCCATCCCACTGATGGCATGCTTCAGACTAGAGGAGATTATCCATGCAATGCATTGGGCACAGGCATGATTTACAACAAAGGACCCATCCCATCTGAGCCATGCCATGGGCAGTGTGGTTTGCTGAAGGAGTTGTGCACGTGTGGTCACGCTACTGGAATTCCCATCTGCCATCCAGTTTTCTTGTCCTGGTAGAAGCCTCGTTGTGTGCCATACTTTTGCCATGAGGAGGAGTAGGCATTGCTTACCAGCTGTGCTTTGATTCCACTTGTTGCCCCTACTCTGTGTCCTTGGGTATGCACACCTCTTAGGTTGTCTGCCAAATCACTCAGTTGAGGCTGAAATACTCTTCAAGATATTGGGTTAGGAAATATTTATGCAGGAACAACAAACAAGAAAATGTGGCCTCTGTGTTGTCCTTTAGCTTGGAGCTAAAATTAAGTTTGTCAGGAGGAGAGGGGAGCAGATGCTCTGCAGGCCAGTGCTGGTGCTCAGGCTCCAGGGCCAGCTGAAGCCGTGAGAGGACTGCGCCTCCAACACAGAGCCCTGGGCAGCTCACACGCACAGCACCAGGGTAAAGCTGCAGCGTGTGTGACAAGGTACCCCCCATGCCCTTCATCTGCCCTGAGCAGGAGGTAAATCAGTCCTTGTGCCACTTACCAAATGCATTTTTTGATCTTCAATTCCATCTAAAAAGATAAAAAAAATAGAGAAAAATAACACCCTCCCCTTCTCTGAATTACAATAATTTATTCAATGCTTTGTGCTTTTTTTGCCAAGTTCATAAAGAAAATCTCCTTTTTAATGCTTTGCAAGAAAATGCTGATCTGTTTTCCAGAACTGATTTAATCTGTATATATTGTTGTTTAATATCCTGTGGATGTTTGGCTAAATTTTAATAAAGCGGCCAGAGTGTGCCACCATGGGAATTCTAACAAAATCCTCCCAAGGAAAATAGTATTCATCCCAAGGGATGTGTCATAGGTCAAACAAAAGCTGTCACACCTCCTCCTTATTTCGAAATTACCCATCCTTTCAACTTTTATTTGCAATCAATATAAAAAAACCCTTTTTGTCAGCAATTTGTCTTTTTATTTATATGTTGGTGTGCTAACTAATTATTACAATTCCACACAGTGCTAATCTTACCATAATGGTATTTCTAGTACAACAACTTTCATCTGCTGACTTAACAAGCACAGTCTTGCCTTTTCTCAGCATGACCATGAGTCAAAAACGAGTCACTGGGAACTGAAGATCCTAGGGCTCGCCTGTACATGGTTTTTCCATAAGTGCAATTAGACAAGTTCAAGTCAAAGCAATGCATCCCCCAAGCATGGGAGAAACTGCATTCCTGTTAAAGTCAGCACAGCTTATCTGAACCAATTCAGTGTAACAAGCAGTCCATGTGAGAATTACTGCTCTGGAGTACATGGACTGGCTGTCCTGCTCTGGCTGAGAAAGTATCACAACATTTACCACTGTGCCAGCGTTCCCAGAACATTTTTTTCTGACAATATAAGTGTGACATTTTAGAAAGAGTTCTTACGACAAGAAAATGGGCATCATGCCATTCACCAAAAACATGAGATTTTACCCTCTGCCTCCCTTCATATCTGGGAATTAAGAGCCTGGACTCTGAGGCTACAATTGGTTATAGGGAGCAACATAACACATGGAACTTTTGTTAATCTCACACCAAATGACTGGGTGCAGGAAACATCCTCTGCCACTTACCTCAGGGCAGCAAACATTCTTCTGACACAGAAGGTCATGCAAGGGGCTCACCCTGCAGAAACTCACCACAGGACCAGTCTCAGGGTAGTTTGTCCTTTACCATATGTTGTACTGTGCATGACACATCTTCTGTATCATGGGAGTTTGTTCTTTGTTCCTTTTTCCTTTTTTTCTTTTCTTTCTTTTTTAAAAGCCTGACTACTATGTGCTGATGGTGCAGGTACACAATGTGTTTGCTTTGGCAGTGATAGCAGCTGAATAATTTCCCACTTCTTCCCCCAGCCCAGCTGTTCACCCTGTTCCTCTTGGTCGTGCTGACTGTTTGCATATGGGTAGGACAAACCAGGACAGAGAAATAACAATGTTAAAAAGTAACTTGCAACAAAAAATCCCCAACATTCACAGTTGCAAGGACACTGACTTGTGATTGAGACAGGAATGCACTGCAGAGGACAAGTAACTTCAAAATACATCATTAAAAAAGTATTTCATACAGTCTGCAAAAGAAGTAGGAAGCAGCTTGTGTTAGGGACAAGGATGTTAAAGCTACAAAACATGTGAAAAACAATTGTTGAAATACATAGACTAAACAACAAAGATGACATTTGGAATTACACAAGTGTGTTGCCATCTACTGTGAGCATACGTGTATTTCTTCAATCTGTCTAATCTAGTATAAACATAGAGCAGCAGGTAGATCTAAAAAAAGCCTCTTTGAAAACACCACAGATACCCATCTTGCCTTGGGGAGATGATAAGGAAGACAGCAAACCAGGTATGACAGCACCTGCAGGCATCATTTAATGTGTGGTTAGAAGGTATTCACATTCCACCGAAAGGAGGAGAGGAGAGGGAGAGGGAGAGGGAGAGGGAGAGGGAGAGGGAGAGGGAGAGGAGGGACGATACAGAAATTCATTCCATACAGAAATTCATGCACTTAGTACAAACCATGTGGTACTGGGGTCATACCAAACTCTACCATCTGATGTTTAAACATCACATTAGTGGTGCCAAATATGCCTATGACAATGCAAAGAACATAGTGATAAATTACCACAGACAAAGCTGTAGTAATAAACATTATGATAGACCAGTNGAGGAGAGGAGAGGAGAGGAGAGGAGAGGAGAGGAGAGGAGAGGAGAGGAGAGGAGAGGAGAGGGACCATGCAAGTTCAGCATAAAAGAAAAAGATATTGTCTTAAAGCTTCTTTTTTAGACGCTAAATTTATTGGAGCATATGGAATGTTTTTATTGCCTCTGACATATTCAAAAGCAAGTTTTCCTTCAAATTATTTTTTTTCTTTTTTTGTCTTATAGCAAGCTGTTATGATTAAAAAAATCCACCCGTTTCCAAACACACAACATTAAGGCAAAAAACTCCCTGCATGAATTCTGGTTTGTAGGAGTAACTGACTCAATTGACTCTCTTTTGGGATACTTCTAGAGCCTGTGGTTTGTAGAACTTCAGACTCACTGATTACACAATTTTTCTTGACTGGTAGTTGATGAACCTACATTGGTTTGTCCTTCCACCCTAAAGTGTTATTGGCATGTAGAGTGAGGTGTCAATATTTGATGTGTTTTGCAGTGAGGATAGGAATGAACCTGCCATTTGATTTTAATGGTGACTTTCTGGGCCCTGGTTTGCTCACAGATGACCTTGCTCAAGAAAGAGGAGAGAGATCTTCAGGTTCTGCAGATGAGAAAACTTCCTTCTGAGAGTAGAAACAACACTGCCTGATATGTGACCCTTGAATGTCTTTTCACTGTGATTTTAAATTTAGCTAACAGATACTTATTAAAACTTCTGCCATATTTTAAGTGTTGTTTGGATCTAATCAGTAACAACTTCCAAAATGTCCTCACTCTAAACAGGAGAGGATTTAACTTGTGTTTTTATCTCATGCTAAGAAAAGATTTCTGATCAGGATTAGTTGAGGAGACAGTATTTGCATTTGAATTATTTTTCTGCCTTAAATTTAAATTCTGCTATAATAACACTGTCTTTCAAAAAAAACTTTTCAGTGTAATTGTTCCTGACAATGCTGGAAATCCCATTAAATCTCCAGTGATCATATTTCATAGGTTGTAGGTGAAATTTCGAAGGAGTTCCTGAGATATTTTGGCTGTGCATAGTCAGAAATTGGAAAACTGTCCCTTCATTCCTTGGTTTTGATGCAGAACAGCTCCTACCTCAGTGGTACAGTGTTTGCTCCTGTCCATGGTGCTCTGGCAGGAACCTGCACCAGTGTTCTCTTCCCCTGCTGCTCTTCCCCCTCACTGCCACACTGCTCAGATCCTCTTCTACCTGCAGAGCTGGGCTTTGGTACCCAACATGCTGCTCCCTTATAATGCTCTCAGTTCAATCTATCTTGGCAACTTTTGTCTGGGGCCTCGAGGGAAATACTTTAAAACCCAACAAAGAACAGATTTCAGCTGTTGACCTCAGCAGTTCTTGCAGCTACATCATTTCCCTCGTGCTTGCTGTCTGCTAACCAGAGAGGACGCAAGTTGGCTGGCCTTTGGCCAGGGAGCTGGTTGCTCTGCACATTTCTGCAACCACGCCAGTCCATTGCCACAAGCACCACAGGGAGTTGTAAAAAAAACCCAAAGATGTGTTACAGATGCCTCAGTCTTTGCAACTGTATATGAAAGAGGAGCCAACAGCCTGTCGCTGCTTTGGGGACTTACAGTACTGGGATATGAACAAGACCATTTTCTTGTATTGATTTCTGCACAGGCATTGTTGGAAACAGTGCTAAAACAGCACTTTTTTTAAAAATTTCAGATCAAGCCCATATTCCTGGGAGTGCCCCATTCTTCCCTCATCATGCAGGTTGGCACTTATGTGAACTGATGGTCACAGAGAGTGAAAATTTAGGTAGAGTGAGATACCAGCTTACCCAGGCAGGAGACATACTCCCCTGGCCATGTGAATGATGGGTATTTTTGTGGATCCTGTTCTCTTCTTGTATGCTTACTCACACAGTAAACAATGTATTTATTAATATTTCAACCACATATATACTGACAACTTTCTTTCACATTGCATCTCCCCAGTAGATTTTAGATAGATCTTTACATTTAATTCCAGCTATTGCAACACAATTAATACTAATTGTTGCCTTGTTGCTTTTGAGGATTTGGGGGTTAGTTTGGGTGCTTTTTCCTTGTTCTGTTTTGTTTTGTTTTTGTATTGGGACAAGCACTTGTATCTCTTCAGTTATTAAATCAGGCTCCTTCCCCACTGCAGTGGTAGGCACTGGAATCACTGGGGATTTGTCACTGCTGTTAGACAGGAGTGTATCAAGGGGATGTCATCTCTGCAAGGTGCCTGATTCTCTTCTAGCCATCACTGCCAAGGTCACCACTGGGGCAGTCAGACCAGCTCCTGCTGCAGAGAAGGCAGAAACAGGTAAGGGAGCACACCCAGGCATGCTGTACATGAGGCTGACATAAGTTACATAAGGCTGTAACTTAAAACTGCCAAAGCAAATGGTACTTAGACCCTTTGAAAATTTTATCACCGATTTCTAGTCCAATGTTGGATACTGGGCCAAAATCTGAGTTTGCTTGGATTTTTTGGGGGCATTGTTCAGTATAACCCATGACAAGCCTTATGGAAAGGGTTTATTCTCAAATTCCTTCTGGGACAAAAAATAAAAAAGAGAAAAGCTTCTTAAAAAAAAAAAAAAAAAAACCAACGAAAAAACAAAAAGCATTGGAATTGTCTGCCTGGAGAGGTGGTGGAGTCGCCCTCCCTGGATGTGTTTAAAAAAAACTGGATGTGGCACTCAGTGCCATGGTTTAGTTGAGGTGTCAGGGCATGGGTTGGACTCAATGATCTTGAAGGTCTCTTCCAACCTTGTGATTCTGTGATTCTGTGATTCCTAGTCTCAGCTCCTCTGTCTAGCCCCAGAACAGTCAAGAGAATAGAGAAAATGCATTTAAAGAGGAGGGCCTATGCAACTCCAAACTTGACCATGTTTCCAGAAAATAAATGTAGAAGTTGTTACCTTGTCTCTACTGAGCATACGTAACTCATTTTTTTCTCACATTTGTAACCTGGTGTAATGGTTTGACACTTCTTTTTCCGTGTCAAACTACGACACTTGGAAACAGGAAAAAGCACATTTCATGCCAAGCTGCAATTTTTTTCCTCCCAAGGATGGTGATATTGCAACCTTTACATAATTTTTTATGTGAAAAACCCCACTTTGGTGTTATTCTGCAGTGCCTTATCTCCCTCAGCTGACTTGGAAAAAAACAAGCTTCCCCCTGCCCAAAGCCCTTGATTAAATCAAAGTCGGAAAATGGAAAATTTCAGACCATATGTTCAAAGATATAAACAATTGAAACCAAGATATTTTTCTAGCCAGAACTATCAACCATATCTACAATGATTAGTTCTAGTTATGTTTCTTTAAACCATGTTCCTTTTTATCCCCATACAAATACATCTGTGATCTAGAGCTCCAAATACCCTGGAAAAAGCAAAACAAACAAACACAAAAATCCTCTTCCTGAGAAGATGAACAGAAAAAAAAAATAGAATTTGAGTCAGAAACAAGGATACTGTTCACAGAAAAAAAAAAAAAAAAGCCATAGCTGCATCTACTTAGAGAAATGTCTTACACTCAGATGGCACGTGGGTTTGTTGCCACCCTTGGTGGCAAATTACTTTCATCCCCCATCCATAGCTCTGTGACATGACCATCCACAGTTTTATCATGGTTTCAGATGAGTTAACAGCACACAGTCTCAAAACTTTCCTAAGGGGAGAAAAAAAGTAATATTTTTAATCTCTTGCATTTTTTACATTTTTGACATATTTGTGGCTATTTCTGCATAGCAGGTAACCTGCAGAGGAGTATGGACATTTAAATGTTTCTGTGACTACCTACTCAGCAGCTTCACCTTCAGCAGACAGCAAACCTCAAAACCCATTTCCATTTGAGAAAATCTGCCAGGGTGAGGATGATTCCCTAATTAGCCACATCCTCTGTGTGTCACCATTAGGTAACACAAGGAAATGTGTTCACGGCTTGCTGCTTCATCGAGCTGCTGTAGTGATTCATTCCACATCACCTGGCACTGTGAGAGCAGAAAAGCCCAGGCTGACAGTAGGGATGTGAAGGAGAGCCCTTTCCTGTATGACTTCAGACAGTGTCTCTGCCTTCGTTTTTTCACAAATGAAAGTTTTCCCTGTGCTGCCCCAAGAACCTTGCCCTCCTACCTCCCAGAGCAGGAGATGTTTTAGGTTGGGTCAGTTCAAAATATGTGTGTCAAAATGTGTTTTCCTTGAATGTGTGTTTCTTACAGGGTTATCAGCTGGATGCCAGTGTCTATTCAGAGCAGTAAAATACTCAGTTCCCATGAAATTCTTCACAGGGCCTGAACTCCTTCTGTGGCCAGGGAACAACAGCCACGTGCATCTCCAGCAGGTATTTCATCTGGCTTGTTTCAGACACTCACAACTGTACAGGAAACCTAAGCAACCATTTTTGGATCAAGCCTATAGAATGTTGTACTTCAGAAACATGCATGCAGCCCCCTATCTACAGTAATAGGCATCTCTGCATTTTCACTTGATTCCACCTGTCCCAGCACAATTCCTTCACCCAGAGGTAACCTGCCTGTGCTTATGATTGAATATTCTGTATATGTGCAGTCTCAGGGTCTGTCATCAGACTGTTGAGAAATGTGATGGGTGCAGGAGTTACTGACTGTACAGCCTGGAGCTCTGAGTTATTTCAGGGCCTGGGAGTTATTTTTGAAGGGTGCACTGTATTTTATATTATGTCTGCAACACAGTTACTTACAGCTGCAGAAAGCCATTAGTTTCTATTGCAAAGAAGAGCCTCTTCCAGGTGCCTTCACTGGGCCTGTCATGTCTGCAAGAACATTCCCTGAAGAGGTGAAGCAACACTCAAATATATCATAAACTTGATGACTACTCTCCCAGGAGTTATGCCAGTCTTAAGTATTAGACTCAGTTCATGGAAAAGTGCTGGGAGTTTCCCTGAGGAACAGTCTGCTTGGTTTAATGAAGGTTAGCATTGGTTCCAGCAGGAAATAGAGTTTATGGTTTAGCCCTGGTAGCAGCACACCAATAAAGGACCAGTCAAGTCCTTATTAAGACATGGCTCAGGAGTATTTTGTCAGTGCTTGTGGCCAGATGGCAAGGCCTTATGCTGACCAGCATCAAAGGAAATATTTTGCTTTGATCTCCAGACTGGCCAGCCCAGGCTCCTGACCCCCAGCCTCTTTATCTACCACTGAGCAGGCTGACCAGCTGGGCATTTGAATTCTCAGTCCTGCTTTGTCTGTCCCCATTGACTTTGCTGAGGTTTCCTTTCCCTCTAAAAGGTGTCTCCTCTAATGCATTGGCATTGCAGCCCAATCTGCTCCAGAAACCTGCCTGAGGATGGCTGGTATCTGTCAAGTAAACATAATGTTTAATGATATCCTAAGTGCTTTGATATTAACCATGTGTACAATGTAGGGAAAGTGGATTTTGGTTGTAAATATTGTCCCATCAAAAAAAAAATTCTGAGTGCTTGTTCTACCATTAATGACCATTAATACACACCTTATTTTCCTGCAGCATCTATTGTACTCATTTAGACTCTGCTGAGGATGTAGACAAAGATGAGAAACTAAGATGTGGCTAAAAGGAAAACAAATCCTTAGGAAGACACCATCAACCATTCTCTCCATCAAATGGGAAATTATCTATTACCGCTCATCAAAGGTCTTCACTGAAAGTGGGTTCTTTATGTTATAACATACCACAGAATATTGTACTGCAGCATTAATTACTGCATATACTTTTTACAATACTCCAGGACTGTAGAATTTTATGGTTTTTTACTGAAAGTACATCCTGGGTCATTCATTCTGCAAGTTTCTTTCCCCAGTTTTAGAGAGGAAAGCTTCTTTAAAAATGGTAATGAACTAAAAGTTGCAAAATTTTACTTATTTGTAGCCTTAAGGATCAAAAAGTGGAAAATAAAAAGCTTTATTTCTGCCCTGCTATATTCGAACTAAAATAAGACTGTTCAAAAAAATAACAACCAAAAAAACCCCAAAACTCATTTTTAGGGGCATCTGATTTAATGTATTTTGCACTCTTTGAGGCTATGAGACTGAAAATTCTTCCTGTTTGCCTGTGGGCTCATAGTGAGAAACTGAAGTTGGGTTTCAATTTTTTGTAAGTGGAAGTGAGAGGAGTTAAAGCAAGAACTTGAGTCTCTGTCCTGCAACCATGTTCAAAGTAAAATGCCCTGCTCTTTCTGCATATGAAATCTTTGTCAGTTGGGATCTCTAAAATGTGCATACATCTTAAAAAAGGAGAGAAGTGTTTTCTCATTATGTCTGCTCAGTAATATTAATATGATTGTTTTCGTAGCTTTGAAATGTTGTGGAAGTTCCTTAGCTTACATTAGCTTTTCAAGCAGGGAATTTGTCTGTTGTCAAAGTAGTCTGGCATGCCAGCCTGACCTTTAAGAAGACAATGTCCTTAGTATGAATTGTATTTCTCTTGGGATGCCCTTTTTTTCTTTACTTATGAATAAGATAAGCCTGTTAAATATATAATATTAGTTTTCAAACTTTCCATTCTTCGGAAAGGAGGGGTCTTTTTCCTCTTTAAGGGTGTTTGTTCTACTTCTGCTTCTACTTCTGAGGATTACTCATTCCAGTACACTGGCAGGTAGCATAGACAGGATGTACTATATAATGTTATTTAGAAGAATTACTGCCTCCAGTGTAGGGCATACACAATATAAAAACTAGCAAAATAAAAAAGTGGTGATGTCTCACCATCTTCTTCCCAAAGAAAATGTGGCCAAAACATAATGTGGTCAGCCAAAAAGATAAGTAAAAATCAGTGTTCTGCAGTCTGTGATCACTACATGAAACATAAGAATTTGATCCAGGAAAAGACTGCAGAATGGTGTTTGTAAATAATTGCCCACACAGTCACTCACTGATATCACTGAAGAACAACAAAAAGAAGTATTGGTGAGAGAGAAACCTTCAGACTTTGGCCCCCTTTTTCATGGTTGTAAGTGCAAATCTCTGTGACACTGCTGTACAAATGGTCTCATGCCCTTTGAAAAAAATGTTGAGGAACATTGGAATTGACACCTGTCATTTTCTGTGATTTTCGCCTATGCAAAGGGTAACTTACATAGCATTTCACAAAGGCATCTGTGTCTCTTCTGCACCCCTCAGCACTTGATTACTCTCTTGTCTTGTACTGCAATCAAACTGTAAAATCTGGGGTAATGGCCATCTCCTCCTTTTCTCTGGACCTTTTAGCTCAACAGGATCAGTCTCATTATAAGGATATTGAGGAGCTAAAGAAAAAGTAGTAAAAAAAATAGCAAATAATTAAGGTAATGAAGAGTTAACAACTGAAGTAATAAGTACCTGTATTTAACATATTATACATATTTTTAAACAGTAATGGAAAAGATCACCATAGGAGTCATAATTGTTACTATTTTTCCCTTGTGTAGATTTTTTAGTCTATGACTCTCTGAACATGCTAATTAAAGATTTTGCACATATCCAAGTACAAATAATTCCCATCTGGAAAGGATAGAATGTGAGAGTGAAGTAATTTAATGCCAATAATATCCTCATCTGACATTATCACTGCAGATCTGGGGTTGGATTTCCGTTTTTTATTAGCTAGCAATCTTAGTGTGCCATAGATGGATTAAGTATATCCTCATCTACTGTTTGGTACATGGGCCAGTAGTCACCATCAGGTGATGGATCTTTGCAATGAGCAGGTACCAGCAAACCTCTGACCTCTGAAGTGACTCTTGTGTGCCAGTCTGCAGCTGTAAAACTGGGACTCGGCTTCAGACTTGAAGGTGGCAACTTCCTTTTCATTTTACCACTCACTATATGTGACAAAAGAATTCCTTCCTCCAATTTCTTACTGATGGCATTAAGATTTCAGCTTTTCCTTTGTGGGATGGCAACCACCCCTTTTCTGCAGTAAACAGCTGGGGTGTCAGTATCAGCCACAGACTTTTTCCTTGGAGCCAGGCAGCCACAGCCCCAGAAGAGTCTGCTCAATAGAAAGCAGCAAGATTTAAACTTTCACCATAGCCTTATTTAATTAGAACTTCTGCAGGTGGTTACATGACATTTCTTCAGGAAACTTTGCTTTGTGGCCATGGGGAGGGATAAAGGCAATCACTTTCTCCTCTAGCTGTCCTGTTTGACACCAAGGTGAGTGATTCCCATCTCTGTTTCAGAGGTCAGCTGCCCATTTGCAAAACTTGCAGGATCCAACTCTCCTCTCTTTTCACAACTAACAAATCCCCAGTATTTCTTGGAGCAGCTCTGAGTCAGGTTTGGGTGGGTGCCACAAACCCGTCACAAGGAGCCAGGCAGCCAAGTGGGCAAAAGGCACCACAGTCACATTTAGCTGTATCCTTCAGTAGCTGTTTCAGTTGTAATTCTTCTTTTGTTCAGCCTGCAGCAGATGGTGAATCAGAGCACATTTGGGCAGGTGGAAGATCTTCCAGCAGCAATGTCTGGAGCTCTGAACTTGGCTCCTTGCTTGTCCTCCCCCCTGCCTGGCTGTGCTGGCCCAGGGTGCTGTGTCTGCTCAGATGGCTCCAGACAGAGAAGAGGGCTAGGGAAGAAAAGTGGCAGATGGCAGCTGAAGCTGAATCAAAGAAGGAGGCCTCACCTCCACACAACAAGCACTGATAGGAACTGTATTTTTGGGCAGCTGTGTTTTGGGTGGCTATATTTAAGAAGTTCCCCTTTACAGAGAATTTTGATTTTAAAACTTTTTGCTGTTTTCCCCATCTCACCCTGCCTGTGGGCATAAAGGGACAGATCCAGACCTAAATTAAAGTAAGTGTGAAGCTCAGGTGGCAGGACCCCATGGCTCTGTGTTGACCAGATGTAATGCTTCAGATGTGGGGAGTGTTTTTCAAGGGGTGATCCATCTTTATTACCATGTTTGCTGTGAGAACACGTCTGTACAAGATGTGGAATTAAAGTGAGGTAGTTTTTTCTATGGCCTTCCTGAGTTAACAGAAAGCTGGCAAAGCTTTCATAGCCCTTCCCAGGTGCCCTTCTTGTAACCATGCCAACATGTTTTGCAAACACTGAATTGGCCAAAATAGCTGCTTTCACATAATCTAAAATTTGTCCACATAAAGTGTTGGGAGAGGATGAGTAAGAGGGGTGAGCAGGCCTGTAGGAACTCGTATATGCCCCTGAAGTGCTGTTCTCTGTGTAACTCAGGATACAATGCTCTTGTGCAAGTCTGGGGGCATTTAGCAGAGGTGCTTGGTATCTGCTGCTCTTTTCACTTCTCCCACATTGACAGAAAAAAAAGGATGGGTTTTGCCACCAAGATGATGCCAAGTCCTTGGATAAAGCAAGTATAAGATATTTAATATTT